GTTCAATCGGTAATACCACTCCCCAAAGAAGGCATAAAAGATTATAAAAATCATTATAATTATGTCCTCTGAAAATGCTCCCATTCTGGAGTGAATCATTTTCCTAACTTAAAATGCAGCCAATTAAATGCATTCAGCAAGTTAAACAACAGAGACAGTATTACAAATCTAATCATATATTTGAAAAATAACTGAAATTTTAAGAAATAGAAATACAATCATTAGAAAGCAACTGACGTTTTTCTTTGGCTGAAATATTAGGGTTTTGTTTTTTATTTTTATTTTTTCTTTTTCATTTATGAGTTGAGACTGAAGAAAAATTATAGAATTTTTGGGCTAACTGGGTGCCTTCTCAAGCGTACGGGGGTATCTGGTGCAGACAGGCTGGTTTTGGGCCCTTTTCCTCTTATCACATTTCACCATCTTACTACACAAAAGGAATTATCCAAATCCACATTTAATAATAATGACAACGCTAAGGGACTAACCACAAATTCTTCAATTTTTTCTTCTAGCATTCTAAATGATGAGACCAGGACTCTGAATGGGAAAAAAAAAGCAGCTAAATTGAAAATCTAAAAATTACAATTACAACTCTGAATTCAAACTTACCACACTTCAGTCACTTTTTCTTACAACTGAAGGATTATTTTATCTTGCCTTCCTGGAACTGACTATTGATTTAATAACCTGTATGTGTTTAAAATGCCAACAGCTTAAAAATCTCTCCATTGAAGCATGAAAGTTTGTGATTAGAAGTTTAAAATTGTTCAATTTTTTCCCCTTGAAGTGGTGGCACCTTAAGTTTACTTCTGTAGTACAAAGTATTTATGTCCATCTTATTTTATCTTAACACAAGAAAGAATGAAAAATGTCATCAAATTTTTGTTGTATTTTTCAGTTTGATGCTACAAATGAAGAAACTGATGATCAAATAAAATATGTTGTTCACATATATACGTAGAACTGGAAGGTTTGCATTTTCTTCATAAATACAGCAATTTTTCTCTGCATAAACTATACTGGATTTATTTTATCATCTGACAAGTATAAGTGTTAAAATATAAATCAACAAGCCTAAAAATTGATATAACTCAGACTACAGTAGTGCTTCAGTTCATGAACTCAATTCTTGCCACAAACCTAGCTGGACAAGAACTTAAGCAGATTTCCCCGTGAGGTCAACATTGAACCTAATCACTGAATGCGATTCGGCTCTCATCTGACTTGGCTTTTGACCACAATCATGAAAACATCAAGTTTGCAAAGTGAGGTACTACTGTAAATTTTGATGGTGCATGAGGAGTTTTTCTCAAAACAGCCAAAGGTATATGGGGAAAAAGTCACTAAAGAAAGAAAAGAAAAGAGAAAGCATAGCAAGAGATTTCAGGAATGAATACACAAAAAGAGAAACAAAACTGAAACTTCTTAAATTTCCTTCTTGATTTGAAGACTGCAAGCTCCTTTCTGTTCTCTCTGTATAACCATTCATTAGACACACAGATATACTTCTTGTAGCACCATTCTTTAAGGCCCCAGCAGAGTGAATACATATTTTTGGTTGTATTTTTCAGTTTGACGTTACTTAACAAAGTCAGCTACTCAACTTTTTTTTTTTTTCCCATGGAGCTCTCTTCTCTGGTTCGGAGGCACAAGGAGCCGAATGGTAGTGCCCACCTGTAATTCCAGGTACTCCGGAGACTAAGGAAGACCTCATGCTCAAAGCCAGTGACCTAGGGAGACACTGTCTGGTCCTTAGCTCTTGCTTACCCTGTATGTGGTCCTGAGTTTCATGCTCAGTATGAAAGAAGGGTGTAAAGGAAGGTAGCAAGAGGAGGAGGGAAAAAAAGGAAGCACAAAAAGAATGCACCACAAATCTAGACTATGTAAAGCTGAAATAGTCACTGAACGAATGCTGCCTCCTGTGCATTAGGCCCTAGGGTTTGATCCCCTGCACAACAACAGCAACAACACTTCAAAATGATACATATTTTAATACATATATTCCATAGTTCGTGAAATTCCCTACAAATTTAGTTGTTTTCACTATTTGCCAAAATATATCCATACGAAAATATACTATTAAAAAAATCATTTTCACAAGATAGTTTTACTTGGTATTTAAAATATCAGGAACCTCTACAATATTTCTACAACTCCTCCAATTCAACCTTTATTCCTACCCTACAAAGACCTTCCCCAGTCCTCAATTTTAGAGCGTGTAAACCCTCATATGCCACTTCATTTGCCCAGCTAGCTCCTGCCTGAACAGGCCAAATATTTCTCTCTGTATCCCTTTCCACAGCACAGCTGCCAGCAGAGCGCACAGAGCAGGCAAGAGTGTATGACTACGTGCAGCTCTGGAGGTCCTACGCAGAAAAGGTACAAACAAAAAAGAGGCTTCATAAAGACATGGTGCTTTCAAAGCCTCATTTGGTTTGTATTTCCTGACTGAGTTGCAAATGAAAGTAGGCACACAACCAATGTTTGCTGAGTGAAGAATGTTTTGGATGCCCAGCGTTCCAGGGCAAGTCAAGTTCTCCTTAAACCACCAGGAAGGTACATTAAGGGACTATCACGCACCTCTTTTCTTGGATTTTTTTTTTCTTTCTAATGTATTAGTATAGGGTCTACAGGGTCTCCCTACACAGATTGGACTCATAGTGATCCTCCTGTTTTCAGCCTCCCAAGCGAGGGCATCACCACGCCCAGTCTCAGTCCCTGTCTTAGCGCACCCTGGGGGTGGGGCCAGCATGGATGGAACCCCGTCCCTGCGCCTGCCTATACAGGCGTTTTAGTATGTTGAGCTATCTGGCTGGCCCCTCTTTCCTTATATACTTACAAACTTTTTGCATATACTGTACTAAACATGGCTCAATACTAGATGGCTCCTTATTTAACACCATCAAGGCAGACCAATAAATAAATAAATATCAACCAGATCAACAGGTAACCTCTGCATAACCACCAAGTCTCCAAGACGAGTTTGGGGCTGTTTCTTTCAGCTTTTTTTTGAGCCCCACTTTCTGGACTGACCAGAAGTCACCAGAAATCACAGGCTCATTATACAGCACCACAGCGTGCACACATGGCGGAGCTGGTGGAGACTAAATTCCTTGGGAAAAGGCTTCCAGCTGACGCTGAAGGTAGACGCAGCCTTTACACCTGCCACTCCCCGGGGAAAGCCTGCTTCTATTCACTTTCAGAAATGACCTCAGACCCAGGCTTACCAAACAGTTTTCAGTAGAGCACATAGAGCAGGCAAGTATTTATGACAATGACCAGCAGGGATTCTTCCATTCATGTACTGTAAAGAAATGTCTTTCAAGTCCCCAACTCAACCCTACACTCAACCACCGTTTTTTTTTTTTGTTTTTTTTTTTTTTTTTCATCCTAAAAAGCTGCAGAAGGGGCCAGGCTGAAATTTCCCTTTGTCCCAAAAGTCTAGAATTTTTAAAGGACCATTTTCTTAGTTCCATGAATTTCCAGTTAGTTGTTTCACTGAATAGCTATTAAAATCAACTGAATAGCCTTTGAAGGTCAAAAATTTAGAATAGTTATCAGTCTAGTGTATATTCCTTTAGAATCAACCTTTTTTCTTCTTGTTCTCTAGGTATGGGGTAAATACAAGAAATGGTGTATCTTGAAATTAACAGAACTTGATTTGAAAGTAACTTGCCATATAATAACTTGTAGATTAAAACAATCTACAGAACTCACCCACCCCACGCCCTGGGGAAAGCAGACATCGCACTGTGTAAACAGACACTGTAAGATTAAGTGTGAGTGAACAAATGACTAAATCATTGACAGAAAAGGAACCAGAAGTCAGGGCACAAAAGAGAGGAAAATCTGAAGTTTTAAGCAGACCCTGTATGCTAATGAAAGAAAAAGCGAAAGAACTCATCAGCACATACTGGGCAAATGACGCGATACACATGCCTCACGTGAGACAGGTGGACTGTGATCTCTAACTTGCTACAATGTCCCAAGTACCACCAGGTGTTCTAGCAACGTTTTTTTCCCAGCTCCCATTAGGGACCGAGCTGACCAGATTCCTAACAAGCCAGGACCTACCCTAAGCCCGCTGCCGTCCTGACTCGCACGCTCTGCCATCATGTTCGCAAAGGAAAAAGCAATAAGCGTAAAATGACCCAGCATCTCTCGCGATGGTGGCCACAGGGCAGCCTCCCAAGGATGTAACCTAAGCTTGTCCAGATGGCCCGGCTCATGCTGAGGTAGGAGAGCCGGTTTGTTTTCAGGGTGGGTGCTGCTAGGGACCAGGTGTGCGTCTACAGTGGCCGGAGCAAGAAGAGCTCGGTGAAGGGAGGTGCCAGAGGAGGAAGTTTCCTCCACCCTCGAGGCGGCTGTAAAAAGATCTGGGTTCCAGAAAACGGGCTCCTTTCCGGACTCACCAACTACCAGCTTGAAAACGTCCTAAGCTCCTCTTGGATCTTTATTTTACTTATAAAAATGCAGACAACTCTGCTGGCCTTAAGAGTTGTCAGAATGGAGAACAAATACCTTGCAGGCACAACCTGAGATGTGGTAGCCATTCAATTAACGTCAATTTGCCCTCCTCCTGTTCACCAAGCGCTGCGCCTCCAAACCCCCAGGGAGCCTCCGGGTTCACAGAAAGAGGCCTAAGCTGCCTGGCCCCAAAAGAAGCGACGTGGGAGGCGGTTCCGCTGGTGTCCTGCAGGGCCTCGCCTAAAATGGAGCGAGGGGACCGATGGGGGAGGGAGGGGGTGAGCCCACCCGGAAAAAGCATTGAACCTGGCAACAACATCCACAAAAACACATCCCTTTCTGCGAGCACGAAACAAACTTCGGAAGCTGCGGACATCCTGCGAACCCGCCGGGAGGCCCTGGTCCGAAGGTTCACAGCGTGCAGCCCCGGCCCAGAGGCGCCCGTCCCCCGCGCCGCCTCCCCGGTTCCGCTCAGCCGGGTGCAGCCGGGTCGGGAGCAGCGGATCGCGGCGGGCGGCGGCGGCACTCACGGTGTAGAGCAGGTTGAGCGCGCACAGGCAGTTCTTGGAGCACGCGAAGCCCCCGCAAACCATCTTGGAGCCCGCGTGGCCCGCAGCTGCAGGTGAATCTGGTTCGCACGGCGCCCGCCCGCTGCCGCTTTGTCCTCGCGCCTGGGCCTGGCCAGGCAGCGCAGCGGCGCCCGCGGGCCGAGGTCAGGTCGGGGTCTGGGCCGGGCCGGGTCGGAGCCGGGCCGGGGCCGAGGGAGGCTGCAACGCGCCGCTCCCACCCGCTCCGGAACCTGCGGCCGCCGCGGCTCCCGCGGGATGCTGGACCTCGGCCCCGCCCACGCCCACCCCACGCCTTACCCCGCGCGCTGATTGGCTGTCGGAGGGGAACAAAGGTAGCAATATGCAAATAAATGCGCCCGGCCGGCCGGGATCCGGGAGGGGCGGGGCCGCCCGGAGGTGGAGTGGGGAGGGGGAGGGGAGCGAGCCTGAGCTCACGCGCGTGATCGTGGCCTCGCGTGGCTGCCCTGCGCAGGTGCAGAGCGGAGGGCTGGCCGGACGGGGACCCGCGCGGGTGGCGAGACGGGGACGGCGCCCTGGGCTCCCGGGCCTGCCGGATGACGTGGCACCATTTTGCATGAGATCTCAACACAAGCTCGTGGCCTCTGGTGAATGAGGCAAGAAATGAAGAAGGTGAAAGGCTTCCGAAAGAATGGAGGGAGGGAATGGAGTGAGGACAAAGAAAGAGGAATAAAAGGAGGGCATGACGTTTCTTCTCTCCAGGACAGGGAAGCATGTGGCCTGGCGTAGGACCGGGGTCTGGGCGCGCAGACTGACCTGAAGGGTAATTGCACAAATACCAGTAAACTTCAGAGATGCGCCCTGCGAAAGAAAACCGGGAGTCACCACTTTTGGGTCCAGTGGTGAATTTCAGTAAGCTCATTTTTGCCCAATTAAGAACTGGGAGAACCTTTTAATAGCAGTCTTCACCTGAAGGGACTCATTGGCACTTATTTCTTGTCGGCGTAGAGAAGCATCTCCATTCCTCATCTGTCATGTGGATATTAAAGGCCTTCCACAGAGTCTGGCACGGAGCAAGGTTCAGAAGCAGCAGACCTCTGGTCTTGTAATACCTACTGGGCTCCAGGCTAAGCCATGAAAATTCTGTTGTTTCATAGTATCCACAGGGATGGGGGTGGGGAGTGTGAAGTTTACCATACTCCTATGGAAATTAAGATTTCAAATTCTCAATTGAAAGTTCCGAGAATGCACGAGCTAAATGGTTTCAATAAAATTGATTAAAATCATTCATCTTCTTGGAGTCCTCTGCTTCCTCTGCACACCAACAAGGTTTGATCTGCAATCAGAAGAGTACCAGAAATTATGCTGGAGTATGACCCTCAACTCTAAACAATATTTTGATACTCCGCTTCCTTTTTTAAAAGCCAGGAGAGGTGCTGGCAGGGAAATCTATCCGTCTTCTTCATATTCCTGGGTGTCAGGAACATTATTGCCATTTGAACTATTACTCAACCTGCTGGGCAACTTTCCCTGCACATTCTTCACAATGCTCTTCACTGTCTCCCTGTGGGTTCAGCCCCTCTCTTTTTCTCAAAGAAATATTACCTATCAATCTGGGCCCCAGCAGGAAGTAGATGGCTTAAATAGTATACCTGAGAAGAGTTTCATAAAAGTACTATTATAAAAAGTGCGGACAAGCTTAAAAGAAGCCAGCGAAGGATGGAGAAGTATCCAGCACAAGCAAGAGTAGAAAGTTATAATTATCCCAAGGCTGGGGCATAATTGAAGAGATCAGTTGCAGAATCCCGTCAAGACCCAAGAGCTGTAGTTGTAGCAGGGTTATCTGATAAGATCTGTGGCCTTTGATAGGGAAAACAGGAAGCAATGCAAATAGCAGAAGAAAACAAATAAGATGGCTCAGTAGAATAAGTGCTTGCCTGGCAAGCACAAGGGCCTCAGTTCAATCCCTGATCCCGCCAAAAAATAAAGAAAAAGGAAACAAATGGATATTGTGGGATTTCTCTTTCTGATGTGGATGTAGAAATTTGCAAAAGACATTTGTTTCCACCACAGAAAGAATGACATAGTCTTGGAAATACCTTTCAAAAAACTGAAGGACTAAAGACATCTAACAGGGCTGGACAGATAGCTCAATGAATTAAAGCCCCTGCTTAGGCAGACACAGGGACTGGGGTTTGATCTCCAGCGTTGCCAGCCCCGCCCTTGGGGTGCACTGAGACAGGAACTGAGACTGGGCATGGTGGTGTGCACCTGTAATCCCAGTACTTGGGAGGCTGAAAACAGGAGAATCACTACGAGTCCGATCTGTGTAGTGAGACCCTGCAGACCCTGTACTAAATTTAAAAAAAAAAGGAAAGCCATCTAGCAGAACTAAAACCCAGACATGATAAAATATTCTTAGGAAGAAAACAACACCAACAAAAAACCTCTCCAAAATTCCATTCCTTTTACATTAGCTGGGAAGGAAAATTAAAACTAGCTGAACACTTAGTGTGTGTGTGTGTGTGTGTGAGAGAGAGAGAGAGAGAGAGAGAGAGAGAGAGAGAGAGAGAGAGAGAGAGAGAGAGAGACGGGGCTGAATCCAGGGTTTTTGTACTGAGCTACATCCCCAGCCATATATATTTTTCTTCTTACTGTCCTTTTCTTTTTTTTTAAATAAAATCTCACTGTGTTGCTAAATTGCCCTGGCTGGGCTTGAACTAAAGATCCTCCCTTCTAAGCCTCCCAGAGTGCTGTGATTGCCACCATGTGCCACAATAGCCACTTGATCATCTCTTAGTGTCCTAATATTTGAACCAGTGTTGCCGACTAGAGTGCAAGGCCCCTAGCCACAGAGGTGAGTCTGCAATTATTTGCCACCTGTGCCCTGTGGGCTGTTGCCTAGACAGGGTTACGGTGCTAAAGACTGTGCTCAGGCCAGAGTACTGAGAAACAGCCTTCCTTCCCAACTATTTAAAGTGCTCAGGTCCTCCCCGAGTACAAGGTGGTGGCTAAAACTTGGGGGAAGGTCAAGAAGAATGGGATAAAAAAAAAATCCCTACAGCTCTGTGTGAGTCTTTTCCTAATCTACGACAAAGGGATTCACAGGAGAGAAAACCTCCATGGTATCCTGCAAAAGTCCCTGAAAGGCTAGAGCAGAGTAACAGGGCAGAGTGACCCCACGAGGGACAGAAGGCCAAGAGCATAACAGGAGAGCAAAGAATACAGGTGACAGCAGGTCACCTAGCACAGGGCTCTCCCAAGGCACAGCCAGCTGGGGACCCCACCGTGCAGCACAGGGACACCTCCGTGCAGACTGAAGTTGTGATTATGCGCTGAGAAGTCCCGGGAGCAGTGAGCAGCGGTGAACTGAATCTACCAGCCTGGTAACAAATCCGACCCGGCTCCACCTCAGTACCTTGTCTCAGGATTTACTTACTTCAGTCTCAAACAATCTCTTATGCTCACTGTCTGTGAAAGACTCAGATGATCAAGAAAATGGGACTCGGGATCAGAAAAACACAACTGCAGCTGTGGAGATTGCCCAGCCTCCTCTCCTCCGCCCCCTCCTCCCCTTCTCTCTGCCCCTTGCCCCTTTGCTCTGCCTCTCTTCCTTCCCCTTAGCTTTTTAAAAATTTAATTTAATTTTATTTTGAAGAGTAATAAAAGCAAGAACAAAAATCAGAAACAGGGTAACATACAACAATACATATGTTGCAAATTATCAAAACAAGAATAGCTGATTAACAATGGTTGATATACTATTTTTGATCATCAAATCTGTTGCTCAGCTTAACAGATATAGTTATATAAGATTGGACATATGATTGAATATTATCACTTGCTTCCAGGAAACCTTATATTTTTGTTCTTGTTTCTCTTCTCTTACCTTTTTTAAAAATTTATTTTAAAGACAGTATGGTAATAATTGATATGACTTTAGAAATGGTACACAATTAAGAAGACCAAGATGGCAGGCATTCAGGCATGGCTTTTGTATTAGACATTGTTGTCCTTGATGTAGTTGCCTAGCTGCAGATGTCAGCATACAGTTAGTCAAGGTGAAAATTCTACACATTAACTGCTATTTTTAAAAAATGATAGAAATTCTTAGTACAATCACCTCAGCCTTCCTAAGTAAGTGGATGCAACTAGAGACTATACTCATACAAGTGAAATAAACCAGACCCACATGTGTAATTTTTGTCTCCCTAGTGTTAGAACCCAAAAGAAGAAATAAAACCTGAAAGATATAACATATGTAGTAAAATGAAAAAGAAAGGGAGCTTAAGGATTAAAAAATGAAGGGGGGAGAAAGGAGAAAAGACAGGAAAAACATAGGGAGAAAAACATGCAAGCATCTATACAGGATGGCTGAGGTGATTGTACTTAGAATTTCTCCTTAGTTTTGAACCAGGACGAAGAACATTCCCAGAAATTAGTCCGGGTCTTCTGAGAGGCCAGAGGCCCCCTGACTTAGAGATACAAGAAAGGAACTAGAAGCAGTCTCAGGCTGGAACCAAGGAGGGAGGTAGAGGAAGCTGGCCATGCTAAACAACCAAGGAGCAGGTCTGACATCTGGAGGTGCCAGGAAAGAAGTGAGGAAAGGAGGAAGAGGGCTTGGGAGGCTGAGTCTCAGCCTGCGATGTAGTATAAGATTTAGTAAAGGCTGCTCTGGTGGATATGGCTGGAGCATCCCACAGACTTCATGGTGGGGAAAGAGGGGAAAAACCCTCTTAATCTGGCTATGGTGTTTGGAGGTGGGTGGCGGGAAGGATTAGAAAAAGTCTTGGGGTGAAGGAATCTTGGTGTTTTCCTAAAAGGAGGGAGAGAGACTCACGGGCAGAGTCAGCCCCTTGGGTCCTCTCACCACATGCAGAAAGGGGGGCACCACTGAGAGCAGCCCCTCAACCTCCTGCCGCCAGGATCTTGAACCAAATCCACCTCTTTGGTTAAAACCTGCCCAGTGTGTGGTGTTCTACCATGGGCACCAGAAAGCAGAATCTCTAGTCGAAGGTGTCAGAGGTCACAGAGACCCTGCGTGTCCCTGGGATGAGGCTGCTGCTGGTGCCTACGCACCCTGGCTGGGAGTGGAGGAGGGTGGTGTGGACCCCAGAGGGTGACCTGGGGCCAGCTTCAGGCAGGCGCCCACACCGCACGGAGAAGCACTGCTTGCTGTTAGTTACCAGCGCTGCTAGCATTTGGCTTGGAGAGGTACATGCCCTTGATGAAAAGGATTTGAACGATGTTTGTTCCATATGCCCTGCAGCAAACTCACCAGTTCCATTTGGAGA